AAGCGCCAGCATCAAACCTTCTACTGGATGAAATAAAGATTCTAAAGAGAGGGCTGGCCAAATAGCTCAGAGGATTAAAGTGCCTGCAAGCAGTTGCAGGGTCCAGGGGTTTGATCCCTGGGCCTGCCCCTGGGGTACGCTGAGACGGCAATTGAGACTGGGTGCCGTGGTGTGCGCCTGTAATCCCAGCTCTTGGGAGGCTACAAACAGGTGGATCACTACGAGCCCAATCTAGTAGTGAGACCCTGAACACCCTGTAGACCCTTCCCTAAAATACGAAAAAAGAGAGATAAGTGCTGGGTGCCTGAGTGCAAACTGGCCCCATTGTGGTCTGGTCTGCCTGGGCTCTGGCTTGGCCTCGAGGGGTCTGCTCTGCCCTGGCCCCACCCCAGGTCTCTCCTGTCCCAGGCCTGGCCCTGCAGCAGCACAGGTGGTGATGAGTTGGTGGGGAGTGGATCGCAGCAGGGCACTGAGGTCAGAGCCAGGCCTCACTAGCCCCGAGGGGTACAAGCAAGGACCCTCCCCATTGAGAAGCAGTACTGAGCAGAGGTGACCAGCCTGAGTGCCGTCTTAGCGGCACCTCCCGTGTCATCACCCTCAAAGTGTAAAGGGGCAAGAAAACAGAAAGGGACTCTGAAGGAGGCTGCCACCCCCGCATCCCTCAGCTAGGCAGCCAGTCCTTTCCTGAAGTGGGATCTGAGCCCCACCTGCTTGCTGGGAAAAGCGGTGAGCCTGGGAAAGGGACCTGGCCGCCCACTCTCATGGTCCAGAGAGGCGTGGTAGGCACAGGTCAGGACTCGTGTGCATGCTGTGCACAAAGGGATGTGCAACAGTCGGGCACAGGTGCACAGACAGGTCTGCAGGTGCGGGGCGTGTGCAGGATAGGCATGCACCTGGGCATTCACACAGGTGTGCAGTGTACATTTCAGTGTGTGCATCAGTTTGTGCACCTTGGCTGCTTGCTCTGGGTGCCTCAGCCAAGCGGGACAGGGAGCATGGCTCAGAGGAGACCCCTGGGCGGGAGCGCGGGACCCCAGGCCACCGAGAGCATAGCAGTGACAGCTGCAGCACAAGATTTCTAGGTCTTGACTGTGCCAGGCAGGGGGCTCAGGTCCTCCCCCAGGGCTGCTTAACACTTAACACACCCCCAGGGAGGCAGTGTGTCCTGGCCCGAGTGCCCCCTTTTTCTTGTGGAGCTGCACGTGTTGTGCCTTCAGAGTTGCAGAGGGGACATACATTTATCCCACACGTGTTTAATTGTCATGCGCTAGGCCTGATGCAGGATGAATAAAATAAGAGCCTTTGCCACAGGGCCAGAGCGTTCTGGAATGCAGGGAGGGCGGTGCTGGTTGCAGAACTAGTGATGTTGACTCGCTCCTGGGCCAGGCTGGGATTGGCCAAAGGCGTGCAGCAGGCGCCAAGGCTGGGGTCTGCAGGAGGAGGGGGTACTAGGTGGTCTCCAGCTGGGGTGCATGCAGAGTGAGAGGCTGCGGCAGTCCCAGCCGGCATATTGGTCTCTTTCCCTCAACACCTGGCCTGGCTAAGACCAGAGATAAAGGCCAGACTCTGAAGTATTCAGCCAGGGGTGAGAAAATACATCCCTCAGTCACAAAGGAGCCTGGCCCCACCACAGGCCTGCCGCTCACACCCGCAGCTGGAGCAGGCATCTGCAGCGTCCGAAGGTGCAGCCCCTTTCCCCACCCCAACCTGCAGCTGCGTGGGGCATCTGGGGCTGAGTGTCTAAGGCTGCTACTTTGACCCAAAGTCCTTGCCTGAACCTGTCTGTGACTAGGCAGCATGGCTGCTGAGCATCTGCACAGGGCAGAGAAGGGCCTAGCTCCTGCCCCGGCCCTGCCTGCACCGCTTCCCCTGGGCAGAGAAGCTGGGAGGTTGTAGGGCGTGTGCAGGGACCCCTTCAACCCAACAGGCACTCTTCTTGGTCTTAGCTTGGCTACCTGGGAAAGAGGCCCAGAAGAGCTTTGGGCAGGAGGCGTGAGGCCATGGTCTCTGGGAGATGCCATGTGGGGAGAGGTTTGGAGGTAGAGGGAGGGCCTGCCCCCAGCGTAGCGCTGAGGCGCGGCAGGCCCTGGGCAGCTCCGAGGGAGGTTTCCCATGTTAGTGTGTCTGCTGCCCTCAGGAAGGGGCTGGCTCTCAGGGAGCTAGGCCAATTTCCCAGTGAGAGGCGGAGCTGAGGCCACCTAGGGTCACTCTGGGTACCTAATACCCGCCATGCACTGGGCTGCCATCCACCAAGGCCAGGACGTGGGACCCTGGTAGGCACTTCAGTCCTGCAGTCTGAACACCACACACCCAGCTCTCCGGAGGGCTCGTTACAGAAGGCCCAGCCCCAGCCTTGACCTCCCTGTCAGGCCTTTGTGAGGAGGGAAGGGGGGACCTCCTCACCAGGCCCTCCTGGGACTCCTCCCCTTGGAGGCTGGTGCTGGCCCTTCACAGGGAGTTCTGGCTGCATCCTCAGAGCCATGCTGACCTCTGTCTGGGAAAGAGCTGCTCCGGGCTGCACACGACCTCAGGCTTGCAGGGTAGGGGCCTGGCTCTGTCCAGCGCTTCCACTTGGGCCTGGCAGGGGTGTAGCCTGGCACAGGTCAGCCTTGACGCAGGTTGACCATGGGGAGGCTGCTCGTGTTGGGGGTGAGCCAAGGCCTGTGGTGGCCCCGCTGTCCTGGCCAGATGGCCCCTGGCTCCAGAGGGAGGGGCCGTCATCACCTCCAGTCAGGGGCCTGGCCCAAGTTCCTCCCTCTTCCTCATGGAGCTGGGCCTTCAGCTGCTCCGAGCAGAGTGGTGCTTGTCTTCCCTGAAGTGGGGCTTCAACTGCCTGCTCCCTGGCTTCTGTCCTGCTTCCCCTCACCCACTTCCAGGGCCTTGCCCGACCCCTACCTCTCACCTCCACTCTGACCTTAGTCCTTTTGGACCCTGTCAGATGGTCTGAACAGCCAGGATTTCCCTCATGGTGTCCCTTTCCTGTACAGCACAGGAAGGTGGCCCGCTCTTTCTTTCTTTCTTTCTTTCTTTCTTTCTTTCTTTCTTTCTTTCTTTCTTTCTTTCTTTCTTTCTTTCTTTTTCTTTCTTTCTTTCTTTCTTTCTTTCTTTCTTTCTTTCTTTCTTTCTTCCTTCCTTCCTTCCTTCCTTCCTTTCTTTCTTTCTTTCTTTCTTTCTTTCTTTCTTTCTTTCTTTCTTTCTTTCTTTTCCTTCTTCTTTCACTCATTTGTTTGTTCATTCCTCTAACAAGCATAAACCCCAGCGACACACCAGGCCCCGACCTCCTTAGCCTTGACACTCCACAGATGAACACAGGTCTGAGGCCTCTGTGCCCACAGATCTGGATTCCACTGGGATGGCCAAGAGCACCAACAGGCAAGGCATGCAGTGGGTGACAAGGCCAAGGTACTTCAGAACAGTGTGCAGTTAGGGCTCCCCAGGGAGCGAACCTGCCCGGGGTGGGAGGAGGGAAGGCAGACTTCTTCCTGGAGGTGTAAGCAGCCTCTGCTGGGGATGTGAGCGTGGTGGGGGAATCGGGGATGGAGGAGAGGCCTGGTAGGAGTTGGCTTTGATTCTGCCAGGCCCGGGAAGGGGAGGAAAACAGTCCCGGTTGACATTTGGCCCGGCAGTTCTGCCCCTCGGGTCAGTCACCTGCTGCAGCCACTTCCTGCACATTCACCCAAGACCCCCGGGTCCCACAGTCAGGGAAGCCAGGGCAGCAGAGGCTGAGCCCCCCACTCAGCGCCCAGTTGCTGTCGGGGTGGGCTCCTGATGGCCAGCCACTGCGGGGCCCTCACCAGGGGACACTGTGCCTCTCCTTCAGGAAGGCTTCTGCGGCCCAGTTTGCTGGCTGACCAAGCAGCACCAGAGTACCATAGGACCCGAAAGCCTGCAGGGCCACGCGACCATTTCCTGCTTGTGGCATTTTAAGTCTCATTTGCTGATGAAACCTACAAGGAGGGCTGGTGAGATGGCTCAGTGGTCTAAAGCACCTACTTAGAACAAGCTTAGCAAAAGCACAGGGACCGCGGTTCAATCCCCCAGCACCACATGCCAGCCAGCCCGCCCCCTGGTGGGCTGAGCTGGCCACACACACACACACACACACACACACACACACACACACAAATAAAATAAATTAAAAAAAAAAAACCTACAAGGAGGCATCTGCTGTCTGCGATTATGAGCCCGGTGTGGGGACTAAGCCCATGGTCTCCTGTTCTCTCACCTGCCTCAAACTTTCCAGCGTCCCTGTCCCACTTTAAGACAGGTCACAGGGTGACTCCTGTCTGCCCTCCACTCCTACCTTTCCTGCAGATAAACAGGGACCTCTCCTGTGCCTACTACGAGGGAGCGTGCACAGCTGGGTCACAGCCAATATCCATGGGTACAATACAACAGAAAGAGGGAGGCAGGGAGAGAGCAAGAGGGAGGGGGTGGGGGTCAAGACAGACAGACAGACAGAGACAGACAGGGACAGAGACAGGCATAGACACAGACACACAGAGACACAGACAGAGAGAGACAGAGACAGACAGAGATAGAGAGACAGAGACAGAAAGAGAGAGAGAGACAGACAGACTGACATAAAGAGAGAGACAGACGGACAGACAGGAACCCTGGAGATGCCCAGAAGTAGTGTCCCTTCCAGCCTGAGTGGGGAGAGGACGGACAACCACACTGGGGCTATCTGCAAGGCTAAAGAGCTAGGGCTCTGGTTTGGGGGCAAGTAGGGCGAGGGAGGACAAGTTGCTGCCCCGGGGCTCCAGGAGCAAGTTCTGACCTGGGGCTGTACCAGTCATGTGCTTCTCTGGCCTGCTCCTCTCTGCACAGCTTGGGAGCGGCACAGATTTCCAGTGACCCTCCTACCCTTGCACAGACTTATTCTGTGGTTCTTGCCCACTTATGACCCTGACAAGCAAAGTGGCTAGCTGTGGAACTCTAATGCCCCGATTTGCACCACATATGGCCTCACTCCGAGACACAGGCCCCAGGGCTCTGGCTCACAGGGCAGCCTTCTTTACTTTCAAGCCCTTCCTCCTGTGGAGCCCTTCCCAGGATAGGCTGGCTTCCGGGGCCTGAGTGCAGACATGGCCCAGCTCAGAGGGTAGTGGCATCAGTGGTCTCAGGTCCTCCACAGCCATGGAGGCGGCGGGGGGCAGGGCATCCAAGCTGGCCTCAGAGTTTTCACCGTGGCCCTCCTGACTGGCGGCTTCACCCTCGGAGAAGGTGCCTGTGTCGGCTGCATCAGCTCCAGAGCTGCTGTCTAAGTTCCCTGCCCCTTGCTCAGTGGCCCCCTCAAGCTTACTGGCCACGTGGCCATCTACTGTGCTCGCCTGTCTCTGTTCGGAGAAGCCCTCAGGGCCGACACAGAGCCCTGCCAGGGGCTGAACAGCGGTCTGAGCTCTGCTCCAGCCGGTCCAGAAGAGGCTGAGCTCTCGGCGGCAGACGGCCACAGTCAGGCTGGTGAGCAGGGTGCTGGACACTAAGTAGAGCAGGGCAGGCTGGCCCGTCTCCATGAGAACCATGGCCAAGAATGTGACCAGCAGGCCCATGGCGTAGGCTATGGTGCAGGCCACGAAGTAGAGCTGACGAGAACGGGTGTGCACGTCGAAACGGTGGCAGTAGGCAACCAGGAAGCCAGGAACCACAATGTCCCCAAACCCGAGGATGGAGAAGGGCTGGTCACACGGTGTCACAGCCAAGGAGCGCAGCTGGGGCACCCTGAGCACCATGGGCAGCTTCTCACGGCTCGAAGAATCTGCTGGGCCCGAGGCAATCTCTAGCATGATGCTCTCACCAGTCTTGGTGAAGAGGGGCGTCACAAAAACAAAGAAGACGTCGAGGGCCAGCAGGACCAGCAGGAAGCAGCTGCAGTTCCTGAGTGTGGGCAGCCGCACTCGCCGCAGCACCAAGAGGCAGTAAGCCATGCCCAGCGCGTCCTGCAGAAGCCACGCCCAGCGGTCCTCATGGCGGTAAGCAACCCAGAGCAGGGTCACCGCGGCACACAGGACGGCCAGCAGCAGCTGGGGCAGCTGCAGGCAGGCCCTGCAGCCAGGAAGGGGCCACTGGCACTGTGGCAGTGGCAGGTGGCGCAGGAGGGGCACCAGGCAGCTGTAGAGCCCGGTGGTGGCACCCAGGCTGAAGACCCCAATCATGACATAGATGAAGCAGTCGTAGAAGAGGTAGAGCAGAGCGACGATGGAGCAGGACATGGCGACCACCGTGCCTGCAGCGGCCAGCGTGAAGTTCACTGATGCACCCTCAGTGTCCTCATCCTCGCAGAGCCCTGGGGGTGTCCTTGCCACCAGGGCCGGCAGCTGGCCAGCAGGCCCCCCACCTCCTCCTCGGGCCCGGCGCCGCTGCAGCCAGGCAGCCTCCACGAGGCCAGCCCAGTAGCCACCCACGGCCACGGTGCCCACGGCCAGGACAAAGATGACCACCAGGTTGTAGTCGACGATGGGCATGGGGGGCGCGTACATGGCTATGCGGATGGTGGCGGCCCCGTGCGTGTGCCTGAGGATGTCCAGCATATCCGTGTAGCGGAGCACAGCCACCGGGATGGCGAGGCCTGGCAAGGGCCGGTGGGGGTCCCCGGACGGCCAGCTGTGGTCTGAGCAATGCTGGTCACCGAGCCGGCTCACGATGAGCAGCCCATGGGCCCCTCGGCCCTGAGCCAGCTGGCCCTTGGCATGGAAGCTGCAGTTGCCCCTCAGGGCCATGGTGGTGGTGTGGCGGAGCGACTGAGGTCTGGAGGAGCTGGGCCAGGCCTGGGGGGCGGGGTCCTTGCCTGGGCACCAGGTGGCCTTGGTGCCGTCATGCAGGGGCAGGAGCGGGGCATGGCGCAGTTCCCGGGGTAGGGTGACGTAGTCAGCGCTGAACAGGACGCAGTAGTCTTTGCTCCAGGTCTCCGATACCACACGGACCACAGCATGTGTACCCTGGGCCACAGCACTGAGGAGGAGGAGGAGGAGGAGGAGGAGCAGGACCACGGGGAGGAGGAAACCCAGGCGCGCCATCCCTCAGTGCCCCAGCGTCACCCCCAGGCGCAGCTGCCCGCAGCCCAGCTCTCTTCCCTGGGGTGGGTGTGGCCCTCTGTCACAGAGCAGATTACACACCTGTCCCGGAAACCAGGGCCACACCTGCCGAGTCATAAAGCTGTGCTGGCCCTGCCGAGAGTGCTGCATGGGGTACAGGGTCCCTCTCAGGACCAAGTTCCTGTACCCTGGCCAAGGTGGAGAGGCCTGGGAGGGGCTGGACCAGGTGGTTTGAGATGAGAGATGGACTGGCTTGAGGACGCCAGCTAGGACTCTGGGTCAACCTTGCCTCTTACCTACCACGTGATCCAGCAAGGTCACTTTCCTCTCTGGGCTTCTTTCTTTAGCTGCAAAAGGTGAACACCCTGGGTCAGTGAGCTTGCAGCCTCCTGGAAGTATGTACTCAATGTGGAGCACTTTTATTGAGCATCTACTAAGTGCCAAGTATTTTACCGACAGTCACTGGACTCCTGAAAGGAGGGATTACTATATTCACCCACAGGCTTCAAGCTGTCCTTCAAAATTGGTTCCCCTATCCACCAGGAATGAGGCCAAAATTCATCTCCAGCCTCCTTTGAGCTAGGGATGGCCCTGTGGGGGTCTCAGCTGAGGAATCATGGTGCTCCTTGTCTATATTCTCTTTTCTTTCCAGACTGAGGGTGGGTCAGTGTCGGGAGCGGCTGCAACTGGAGATGGAGCCGTCATGCGTGTGGGGCTGGAGCAAGGCCACACGAATACATGAGTCACGTGACACCAAGCTGGGAGTGTACAGGTGAACTGCGGTCCTTGGGCAGCTCCTCCTCCTGCCGTCAGGCGATCAGGCCCCACCTGACCCCAGCCCTCTGCATTCTGCCTCTGGTCCTCATTTACTCATCCTCCACCATCCCTCCCCAGGGAAATTTGGGAGCTGTGGGATAGGGCAGCTCAGTGCCTGGCTTGGGTCATGATGAGGAGGACAGTGTCCTGAGGAGAGGAGAGAAAGGGAAGGGAGATGGGTCTCTGAGGGCACGGGACAGTCACCCAGGATACTCACCGAAGACTGCCACCAGGGAGAGACACGGCCGCGTACCAGCCTTCAGCTCGCTGTGGTCTCTCTTTACCGCAGTTGCACCTCTCCCCAACATACCCACGGCCTACATGAGTAGAACTGAGGCTGAGAGAAGCACAGACTGAACCAGCTAAGAAAGGAGTCTGGAACAGAAAGGGAGAATTAGAAGACTGAGCGAGCCCTCTGGCCCGAGTTCCGCGGTCTCCCTGCCCCTCACTGGCTGTCTCTCAGCCCCCTTCTCCCTGAGGCATCATGCTCTCCCCTCCACTGGACCCTCATCGCCCTAAGCCCTTAGCTGTCCACAGTGCACAGACTCTGCTTCTGAGTGGCCGTCCTTCTCCCGGGGCCCTGGCCAGGGCCCACAGCGTGACGTGTCCAAGCCAGGGAATCTCAGAGCGGGCTCCTGCCTTCATCCGCAGAACCCCACGCTTGCCGGCAGCACAGTGCCCAGTCCCTCCAAGGCCTCCCAGCCTAGCTGCCCTTTCTCTGCCCCAAGGTCACCTGACAGCACTGTGCTCTTGTCATTCAGGCCTTGCTGCAAGGTGTACTCCACTGCCACTTCTGGAAAAGCCTAGCCTCCTCCTCATGCCGCCGTTGCAATTTGGGCCTTGCTTTTCTTCTCTTTCCTGCTGGGGAGGGACCCATGGCCTTCGCACTGAGCTGCATCCCTGCCCTTTTTTATAAAACAGCAATAGGCAGAACTGCAACAGTCCTGGAAAGACGAGGAAGCATGCACTGTCAACAACCAGTGGCCTTTTCTTCCCCAGGGCCTGGGAATTACAGTTGTTTATATTGGGTCTGTTTATTTGTTTCTCTTTTACTATAAACTATGTGAGTATACAGTGTACATTTGATGTCTCACGCATGTTTCCAACTTCCACTTTTCTTCTAGGACATCCTTAAGATGCAGTTCCTTGCATAGTCCAGTGGTTTCCACTCTACTATTAGTTTACATGGAAATAGTCTGGTTCCTCATCCTCCACCTGCAAAGGGTTGTTTCTTTCCTGTAGCTTCGATTATGTACAAGGCCACGGAATAAACTAGGTGACTTCACCCCATTTATATTTTGAGAGATAGGGTCTTGCTAAATTGCTATGTTGCCCAGGCTGGATTCGAACTTTTGATCTTCCTGCCTCAGCCTCTCAGAGTGTTGGGATTACAGGTGTGCAGCACCCCGTCCAGCCAGATTTTACTTTCTTCATAGCACCTGTCCCAGCCCAAGGTTTTTGCCTACTTACGTGTTTGCCTCTTGGTTTTCTGGCTTGCACCGCTTGGGCATAAGCTCTGTAAGGACAGGGACCTCGTCTGTCCTGTTTGGTGGTCTTGACTGGCGGAAAAGAAAGCGGTGCTAGCAAAATATACCTGGGATTTGCGGGTGGAGCTAGAGAGGAGCTGGGCTCTTTCAAGCCACACCCCAGCGACCCACCCACCAAGCCAGCAGGAGGACCCCCAAAATCCAGTCTCCTTCACAAGCTCCACCTTCTACCTCTTGAGGCTTGGGGGAGACATCTAGCAACAAACCATAACAGCTGTTAGGGGACTTCTCCAAGGCCACATTTTAGCAGTTTCAAACCCAGGCTGTCGGGTGGTGGAGCTCCGGGCTTAACAATGGCCAGAGCACTGCCTGGGGAGGGGCAGACGTGCTGACCCGGACTGGGTGGGCAGTGGGCTCACTGAAGAAGGTGGTCCCTGCTGGACGCGGGGGCACACTTGTGACTCCAGGCTGGGGCTTGAGGCTCGTGAATCTGACAGCAGCCCGGATAATGTAGGGAGACCCTGTCTCCAAATGAAGAATAGAAGAGAGTTGAGGCTGTAGCTTAGTGGCCAAGCGCCCTGGCTTCACCAGGGTGAACGCTAAGCTATCGCACCTGGTGCTCATATCAGAAAAAGAAGGAACAAGGAACACAGGGAGAGAAAGGAGGGCCGGAAGTCATTAAATCTTCTGTGTGTTTTGCACACTGCTTTAGTCCCTTGGCCTGAAGTTTTCACAAACAAGCTGGTTTTAAACAGAATTTTATTCTCTTGTAGAACTGGAGGGCAAAGGTCTAGCATGTGCTGAATTCTGGTGTCCCCCTCGAAATCTGTCTGCGGGGCCTCATTCCTAGTGCCATGGTATCGGGAGTGGGGCCTTTGAAAATAGTTCAGGAGGGGGGAGCCCTGCTGGTCAGCAGCCTCCTGGAAGAACCAAGGGAGGCCAATGTCCAGCTTTGGGCGGCAACATTCCAAGTGTTCAACTGAACTTTTGTAGGAAAAAGTTTCCCTGCTGGATGAGGTGGCACACGCCTGTGATCCCAGCTCTTGGGAGGGAGGCTGAGGCAAGAGGGTCATTGTGAGTTCGAGGCCAACCTAAGCTACAGAGTGAGCTCAAGGCCAGCACAAACTGCATAGTGAGACCCTGTCTTAAAAAGACAGACAGCCAGATAGAGTTCCCCTTGGTGCCCCTTGCAAACCAGGACTGAGCCCACTCCAGGAGCTGATCCCACCGGCACCTTGGTCTTTCCAGCCTCCCCTGAGAACTGAATTTTGGTCTTCAAGTTGCTCACTGTACGCATTTATCCCAAACAAAGTCCAAAGTCAAGGTGTCAGCAGGGCCCCGCACCCCTGAGAGAGTGGGGAGAAGCCTTCTTATTCCTTTCCTGGTGGTGGCTGGAAAGCCTGCTGCCTCCTGGTTGCGCTGTGTCGCTCCCCCTGGCTGTGCCGCATGGCATTCGCCCTGTCTCTGTCTCTTCTCTTTTTCTGATAAGGGCACCAGTTGGGATTGCTTAGGCTTCACCCTAATGACTTCATCTTGATTCCACCTGCAAGGACCCCACTTCCAAATAAGGTCACATTCATAGGTAGGGGGTTAGGACTACATATCTTTTGGGGGACATGGCTCAATCCAAAGTGCATGCTGTTTACTCCTCAGCAAGCACAGTCACTGACCTCCCCTAAGGCCTCTCCTATTATGAATGCCTATTTTCCATCTTATTTTTCTGTGCTGGGGTTTGAACCCAGAGCCTCTTGGGTGCTAGGCGAATGGAGCCACAGCCCTAGTTTTCAGTCTGAGTCACTTTCCCTGGGACCCCATTCTGATACACTCCACCTGTACCCCTCAGCTCTTGACGCTTGAAGAAGAGTGTGTGAATGTAGAAGACTTTTGAAGTGGTTAGCAAGCAGGCCCCACTGGCTTTGGGTAATCCCCTCCCCTAATTCTGTTTGCCTCTCCAGCTCCTAATTTGACAAATCTCTTTTTTGAGATTCATTTATGTTGTGCTTTTCAAAGTATTCATCTGGATTTCTGTAAGAAACATTTCTCTGGGGCCAGGGAGATGGCTCAGTAGAATAAACACTTTCCTGGCAAGCGTAAGGGTCTGAGTTCAATCCCTGGTTCTGCCAAAAAAAAAAAAAAAAAAAAAAAAAGAAACATTTCTTGTTGTTGGTGTACTTTTGATTTGTCCACTAATATAACATTTAATTAGATTACAAACAGTAATTACAGCCACATGTGAGCTGTCAGGAGCATGTTAGGGAACCCATCTGATGGTCTGATGACAGGCCAGTGTGGGGAGAGGTGGGCAGGGAGTTCTGACTGGGAAGGGGACACACTGTGCCTGTGTGCTGTGGGGGGCTGGGGTGAGGGTGCAGTTTGGGCTGCTCCTGCTACACAGTGTGGTCACCGGGTCCACTCGTCTGATTCCAGTGCCAGCAGGTGGGCAGCCCCTTACTGAGGGATGTGCAAAGGAAACTCTCTGCCCCCAACTAGGATGAGGACCCAGGTACGCGGAGTGACCTGCTCCAGCAGCGCCACTCCTGGTGTGCAGCCGTAAGAATGGAAATCAGGTTCTCAAGAATTGTTGCGCATCCTACGGCCGAGCCGCTCGCCACAGCTTGCAGTAGTGGCCGGAGCCCGAGGCCCACGGCCGATGGACACCATGCTGCACCCCGCAAGGCAAAGCCAGTCGGCCGTGG